AAAAGTGCAAACATGACATTTACACAGAATACAATGCAATCTGCCATACTTACACTTATGTATCAAACTATTTCACTTCAATTTTGTCCCTAGAGCTTTGTCCAGTGCCCTGCCTGACACTTTTACTGTACTCTATTGACTGTGGTACAGATCAGGCAGAATAATCATACCGCCAGGGAGGTTAAAGTAACCCATATTGCAAAAAGAAAAATGACCATTATGTTGCAGTCCATATTAATTAGATGCCATCTTCCCTCTATCTGTGAGCCTCTAAAAAGCAAGAGACAATATTAGATTAGTGGTAGGATTTTGACTGAATATGCCCAAAGTTTACTATCAATAGCTACTATGTACCAATTATTAATCATACGTCTTCTAATAAGATGCCCTTGACATATGCGGTCATATGATATAAATAAAGCTGCCCATTTTGTGTATTTTTGCATAATTTAGCATCCCATATTTTTTCCTCCTATCCTAATTATGAAAGACTACAGCTGTATTCGTTATGTAGTGTGTTTAGGTTGCAGGAATACACATTCACATTTAAGCTTTGTGCAGAAATGATCTTTGACTGCAGGTCATGCCCTAACTGGAGGTCTACAATCACTGCAGAGAAAGCATGCACAGGAGCTTTCAAGACTTTGAGGTGGTTGGTTTTGTTACAGTACAAATTTAAACTTTATGGCAAGTGCATTTGTTATTACACAATGCATTTTACAAATTATATGTACTATATCCAAAATGCTATTTTTTTTATAACTGGTTGATGAAGCAAACCTAGTGTGAAACCCATTTTGCATAAAACAGATCGTAAGACACATACCTTTAGCAGGCTGTGGAACCAACAAAACCTAATGTGCTCTTATCTGGAAGCTGCAACATATCCTACCATGGTCAAATCCTGGCTTACCTTCTACACCTTCCTTTGGGCCAGTGAAGGTGCTTATTAGAAGGATGGGCAAAATAAAGCGAGGGACGCAATGGACTGGCCTGTCACACTAGAAGGGTTCCGTTCAGAGCACTTCAGAATTTGGGGGACCTGTATCAATCTTGTAGGCCGCCACTGCTGACCTCTTCTTTTGTAAGTTGCCTGGTTGGTATGCTGATCCAATAGCCTCAATACTTCGAGTCAAAACTCTTTGATTTACATGCTTCGTCCAGGTTGGCTCAATGTGCAACATCCTTGTTCTGGGTCAGTATTTCATAAAGTATTAAAAATGGTGGTCAGGTAACAAGCATTTTCAGAAGGTGTGTGCAGTAATGGTTTCTCCCATGCTTCTGTCCTCACAGGCTAACTTAAAGTACATGCAGACAGCTCCAGGTGTCTGCTTCAATGAACTTTAACTTTCTTTATCTTTTTAATTAGAGCTGTACTTTGAGAAAGCCATATTAAAAAAAGGGAGTCAACCAGAAAACACAACATTGAGGGCTCATGCGCACCAGCAGATGCGTTATACCATGGTTGCTGATGTGTGCCAATGCATTGTAATGACAACGCACTGTTAACTTTTTACCAGCTTTATTAAAATGTCATTCAGCTTTATGATGAAATGCTGTGTAGTGCATGTCAACACATAAAAAGTACAGCTCACTCCTACGTTCTGCAACACACACCACTGTACAGTAAAATTGTATGGCTCATGGGAATTGCCTAGTCTTTACATTGTGCCTGGGGTTGGATGACCTGCCCAACACAGCACAACAGTACTAGTGTCAACGAACCAAAATTTGGTATTTAGTTTTTTTAAATGCTAGGTTACATAATTTACTATTTTGTTTAAACATAGTTCCACAGGATACCATGTTTGCAGTTCAAATTAAAAAAAAATAGTACACTTTGGATCACAGAAAACTGTCCACCTTTTTTATTGAAATAAAGTTCATCCAAATATAACAATAGAAGCTGACATGCATGGACAAACATCAATATTTTATAGATTCGTCATAATTTATAACCATAGTATAATGGAGTTGAGCTTGGTGCCCTGGGGCAGGTTGTTATAGAGCAGCAAGTTAATATAGGCTCAGACAATCATTTTCACTACATCCACATACTGTACTACAACAGGGATGCCACAAATAAACAAACTCTATGTCCATAATGAATGTGAATTACTGCCTTGAGAACAATGCATAGAAAAAAGGAGGGAAAGAGTTTTAAAGTGCTTTTCCATAATAGTGGCAAATTGGTTTTCAAATTACAGAAATAACCGGTGCCTCTTCTAACAATGTGTAGATTTACTTTGAAAGGCCTCAATAAAATTGTTCCCCAAATTGACTCACAAAAATTCAATTTACACCAAAGTCAGATACTACTTGTGGTGTTTGTTTAAAAGGGAGGTGGGCCAGGCAATAGGAGAAAGACTTTCTGGCCATAGTTATGAAAGTACAGTGACAAAGCTGAAAAGAGTTGCAAGGGGGTATAAAAATAGCATTATCCGACATTCTACATGCAGTATTGTACGGTTGTTTATTATATTACTGTATAAATGTGAAAAGAAAACTAGAAAAGAAAAAAGAACCTGTAAACATAATGTAGACTTACTCCCAATGATTGAAAATCTCATGAAAATACCTTTGGCAGACACACACCATTATGCATAATACATTTAAGGCAACCCTGATGAGTTATATTAATATTTACAGCAACTTAATTAAAAAAGTTTCCAAGGCAAATACATACACATTCAAGTTCAACCTGCCGTTGGTTTTTAGCATAAGAGGTTCTTTAATGGAAAAAAAAAAAAAAATACAAATAAAAAAAGGTGAAGTGGAACAATATCATGTACGCTTATATATAGGCAAAACATAAAAATTCAGTAAAGGGGAGAATTGAGTAGTAATTATGGTTTTAAAGAGTAGTAAATACACAGGAAGGAAATAAGGTCTGCAATGGTAGAGAGGGAAGAAAAGAAAAAAAACTGTATCATCTCACAATGCTACCACCAGAACAACACAGAGCAGAGCAAACTGTGTGGCTAACTTCAGACATGCACCAAATTTAACTGAACGATTAATCCAATAAACTTAAGTGTTGCCCTGAAAATCCTTTAGTGCTGAAAGGGATTTGAAAAGTATAAAAGATCAACAAACCACATTTCTGATTTCATACTGAAGGAAGAAAAAAAAATGGTAAGTGAAGTTTGCATAAACTGCTCCAAATGATGTGTGAATTCCAGTAGCAGCCGCCTTCATTCTCCTTCCTGCCCGTACACGAGAGGCAGAATGGAAAAGACGCTGGGAAAAGAAGAAGGTTCAGGTGCTGGGACCTCAGTAATGCCTGGACTTGGAATGCTGAATAAGCCACTGCAATGTAATGTCTGAAAAAAGAAGAAGAAGACAGACAGAGGATAAAGAAGTTGTGATTACGAACAGGAAACCTAACTGTACAGTCTCCCACATTTCTAAAAACAGAACTTTTACAAAAAAAAGGAAGCACAAGTAACACACACACTTTCAGTAACACTAGAACAAAAAACAGCAACGTTAAGCTGATAATTGAACTCTTAATAAATACAGTTTAAGCCCTGAAATATAAAAAATCAAAAAGGTTTTGAAGTTATTTTAATTGCGGTATTAAAATTGATTCTAGGGCTGAAACAACTAAAATCAATTATAATTGAAAATTATTGTCAACGATTCTCATTATCAATTAGTTGATTTTCTATTAGTTGAATCACCGGCCGCCAAAAAGCTCCTCTGCTCTCCTCCCTGCTGGTGCTGGCTGCAGCGGTCTGTGTCCCTTTCAATCCCCACTGCTCTCCCCACCTGTATCAGCAGAGGCAACGGGACACAGACCACTGCAGCCGGCACCAGCGTGGAGAAGAGACTGCAGTGACTACATTCCCCCGTTGTCCCCTCAATACCCCCACTGCTGCACCGGTCGTCTCCTCTGCCCACCCAGTTTACTTCTCCGCTCCCCCGTACCCCCTCTTCTGCCGGTGTTCTATCAATCCCTCGGACTCAAGGGATTGATAGAGCACCGGCATCTAGTCTCCCCCCTCAAGAGCACCGGCATCTAGTCTCCCCCCTCAGCAGCTGGAAACAATAGCCAGCCTGCTATTAGATATTTTAACATTGCAATAGCAGGCTGGATATTGCACCCGCCCACTGTCTGCTGTCAATCAGCAGAGGAGGACCTGAAGGAGAGAGTTAATAGTGACAAAGGCAATCTTGTAACTGTGGTCTGCCAAGGAAATAACTGGTGGGTTCAAAGAGTGGCCTCTAAAAGAATCCCTTTCAATCCCCACTGCTCTCCCCACCTGTATCAGCAGAGGCAACGGGACACAGACCACTGCAGCCGGCACCAGCGTGGAGAAGAGACTGCAGTGACTACATTCCCCCGTTGTCCCCTCAATACCCCCACTGCTGCACCGGTCGTCTCCTCTGCCCACCCAGTTTACTTCTCCGCTCCCCCGTACCCCCTCTTCTGCCGGTGTTCTATCAATCCCTCGGACTCAAGGGATTGATAGAGCACCGGCATCTAGTCTCCCCCCTCAAGAGCACCGGCATCTAGTCTCCCCCCTCAGCAGCTGGAAACAATAGCCAGCCTGCTATTAGATATTTTAACATTGCAATAGCAGGCTGGATATTGCACCCGCCCACTGTCTGCTGTCAATCAGCAGAGGAGGACCTGAAGGAGAGAGTTAATAGTGACAAAGGCAATCTTGTAACTGTGGTCTGCCAAGGAAATAACTGGTGGGTTCAAAGAGTGGCCTCTAAAAGAACCAAGATCCTATGAAGGCAGTAGGGTGCATACAGAGGAAGCAACGTGAGCAACACCCTGCAGAAAAGCCTTTTCTAAAGGAGTGGGAGGCAAACCGGTCCTTGAAAGGGGATAGCATGGGCTGAGAGTTGTCCCTTTCCAGGGTTCCAGTATTGAAGGGACAACCACATTTTCCCCAAGTTCCAGGATATTGATGGGAAGTAGAGGGTATTCAGGATTCCTCTGAAGCCTACAGACTGGCATTCAATGTGAGAACCTTTCAAGTCATTGGGAGGAAGGACTTCCCTGATGGAAATGCACCACTCAATGGAGAGTCTGGCATAGTTGGTCAGGCAGAGGAGGTGATCTATAGCCCATTTGTCTCATGCAGCCAAATGGACTCTCTGCCTTGCAATGATCTGAAGTGAAACTGGGTGTATGAGACTGCCCCAAATGAGGCTACCATCAGGCCCAGAAACTTCATGCAAAGCAAATGGAGGGACGGCTCTTGGACTGAAGGATCAGAACATGTAAGATGAAGGACAGGTGCTGGTCCTGGGGAAGAAGGACCCGGGACAAGGCCTTATACAAAACTAGGCCCAGATACTATAGCGCCGATTTCTGGAAATTGACAATCCATCCAAATCTCTGCAGATTCCATCCACTAGACACTGGATGCACCATCTTTTATGACAAAATCTGGGACCGAGTGCTTTTTTAAGCAGAAGATTGTCCAGATAAACCACTATGTGGATACCCAAACCAAAGCCACAGCAAGACACCGGAAGCATTGATGACGGGGGAAAGTGTGGATGTGTAAGTGGACATCTTTGAAGTCCAGAGCATACCCTTTGGTGAAGTAAGGTGATGACTGACCTGGCCAATTCAATGTGGAAATTTGAATTCGAAGGAACACTTTAAATCTTTAGATCCAGAATAGGGCACATGCCTCATTTTGCCTTGGAGACAGTGTTATAGGTCTGAGCAGTACCTCTGGAATCTTTCCACGATGGGAATGGGAGCAATGACCCCTTGAGAAAAAGCAGCTGCTGGAGAGCATACAGATCTGCCTGTTTTTGCAGAAAGGATGAATTTGATGACATTAAGCAAAGTGGGAGGCAGAGACTAAAACACTCAATTACAGCCCCTGAATATGACACTATGCTCAAAAACAAACTTTAATTTCTTGGGACTTTATGGCTGAAAAGGCCACCAGATCCGCCCTGCCAATGACAAATGGACGCAGCCCCTCAATGGTAGGAGGGCTTGCTTTCTTCTGGACCTGGTGGGCTTTGAGGTTCAAAATCAAATGCCAGGTTTGGGCTTGGTGCCCAAGGCCTATAAGAGAAAAAAAGGAACGCTTTAAATTTGGGAGCCAAAGGCTTACCTGCATGAGCTTTAGGTTTCATTTCCGCTACTGGGACTGCCATTTTTTTTTTCTTTTTTTAGAACAACACCTCAATAAAAAGGTACTGCTAGGCAAAGAAAATGGGAGGGAAAACCAGGGGGAGGCTAGTCACCAAAGAGAACAGGCTCCAGGAACAAGCATACAGGAAAGATCTTAGCAGTTTTGGGCATTTCTAAAAGGAACCCAGGCTCTTTACCTTAGGATAGGCAGAGGTAGGCTCCTCTAAGGCCAGACAATGGTGTGCCACGTCAGTAAGGATCGAAGTGGTCTCCCCAAATTTGGAAAAAAAGATATCAGCAGATTCAGGATCTGAAGCCTCCGAATCAGATAAAGCATCATTCTCCTAATTTCCACAACAGGGAGAAGAATGTCAGAGACAGATGATTTTGGAACAGAGGCTGAGAGGGCCTGTGGTCCCTGTGATCTGCAACCTCCAAAAAAGGAAGAGAGCCTGCCCATTCAGACAGTGGGCTGAAAACTCCTCTCTAAAGAAGCAGACAATGAGAGTGTACCAGAAAGTGGCCTCAAAGTAGAAAAAAATAACTGGGAACAATAAAAAAGGTCAGAACATGGGCTATGGGACAGAGGCTAAAACACCCCCCCCCCCTCATCAGTTAGCAGAGGGTGAGCTGGAAAGGCCTTCTCACCCACTGCCTTTGCAAATATGATCTACCTTGTACGTGAGGAATGTCCCACAAAAGGTTACTCACAACCAACCACTGTAGGAGTGGGAAGCAAACCTTCTGTGCCAAGCAATACAGGCAGCTAGATGATGTGTAGACATCCAAGGATCGCTGTATCGTGTGTAGTTGAGCAGCAACAGTGACTCAGCTGGTCAATTGGAAAGGAGCAACAGTACTCTGGGCACAAAGCCGAGACTTATTATGGCAGACATGTTGTTCCCCCATCAGGAGGATGTTAGTAGCAAGTCCTATCCTGGAATCACCCTCTGGATGGACATACCCCCCTAATGTGTCTTCAGGCACAGAGTTCCAGTGAGAGGTGGACCACTACAATGTAAAAACGATTGGTTAAGACCAAGTCCTGTACTGAACGAGTAAGAAAAAAAAACTTTTTTGCAAGAACACTGCCAAAAAGAAAGCCCCCAGAAGTCGTTATATCTGAAATGTAAAAATATATTTCAGTCTGCAAGGCATATATAGAGAGCTAAAGTGTTTAAAAGGGCCATTTGGCATAAAAACTAGGCATGTTCAATGAAGTTCATAAGACAAAATGTATGCAGTCTTCACTTTTAAATCACTCACACCAGAATTAGAGGAAATGTGTAACAGCCCAACCTTACCTATATTATCTTTCTCTTTACACGAAATAGAATAACAACAAATTTCTCGATCTTGAATAGCCGAAAGATTTCTACAAAAGAAGCAAAGAAACTGAAAGTTAAAAGAAGCACAATACAATTACAAAACTATAAAAGAAAAAAAATAAGGCTCAACCAATTCTACAAAATGTTATTTCAGGAATAGATCATTAATAGGTGACACACACTAACACACACATTGTTCCTGCAATACCAAGTATGGAGAATAGGAATAATTAAAATTTCTGGTATGACAAACAGGAATTTTGTACCCCCTATAAAATCCTTTTCTTGGAGTCATTTGGGGGACTCAGGAAGTCTTTAGCTTATAGTGCCTCCTACAGGAGAATAGAACACTGGCAAATGCAAGAACTGTGGGATAACTCCTCCACTACCAGCAGCAAAGCAGTCTTTTTTTTTTTCTTCAAGAAGGAGCAGTGGTGAGAGACTCTCACAATCCGAACCACATGCAGACAATTGAGGGACATTTTCTTTTGGTGAAACGGAGAGGAAAAAAAAAAGAAGAAGAACAATGTCCTGGTTGAAGCGAAAGCCAGAAAACTAGGCAAGAAGGTCCTGGACCCAGTGGCGTCACAAGTGGGGTGCGACCCACACCTGGGTGCCACCATTGGAGGGGTGACACCAAAGTGAGTCATTTTTGTGTCACCCCCTATGAAAGGTCGGGCACTCGGTCATGGACCGAGAGCCCGACAGTGTCAGGAGAGAGGAGGGGACCAGCCGGGTGAACGTCCAGTGCGCATGCGCGATGACGTGCGTCAACATCATACGCGTGCGTGATGATGTCACGGTGGGGTGTCACCCAGTCTCCTCTCCCCAGTGACACCCAGCCTTGGGACGCCACTGCCAGAAAAGGTTTTTTGCAGGATAGGCCCGCTAGCTCCCGATGCCTTCATAGCTTTCCACTGGGTACTCTGGTTTACTCACACATTTCAAAAGACATACTGATAGGTTAAATGACACACACACACACACACACACACACACACACACACACACACACACACACAA